CAGAAACCACACAAATACTTGTAGACTAAATAATACACTCTTGAATAACAAGTAGGTTATTGAAGAAATCAGAGAGAAAAATCTTTAATTCCAAATGAAAAATGAAAGTACAACTTAATAGAAACTATGGGATATAGCTTAGGCAGTTCTAATAGCGAAGACTTTAATTATGAGTGTTCACATTTTAAAAATCAGCAAGATCTCAAATAAATACTGTAATAATGCACCCCACCCCAAAGTCTTCAAAAAACAAGAAAAAGCTAAACACAAAGGCAGCTAAGTGGCAAGAAATAATAAAGATAAACACAGAAATTAATAGGCTAAAGGAACACAGAATAAAAGAAGTTGCTCCTTTAAATGATGAGGATTATTTAACATCCTAACCAACCAGAAACAGAAAATACTCTCATTAATACAATTAGAGATGAAAAGGGGAACGTTAGAACAGATTTCAATGAAATGCAGATAAACATTAGGAAATACTTTGCAAACATATTTTACCAACTGGAAAACCTAAAGGAAATAGATAAATTCCCAAATCTATGACTCACCAAAATTAAATCAAGATATAGACAGCTTAAGACGAGCAATAAGCAACAAGACTGAAACAGTTAAAGAAAAAAAACACCCCTCGTCATAAAGAAAAGCCTACAGCTGGAAGGATTTGCTCCAAATTCTACAAGTCCTTTAAGGAACTGCTAAAGCCAGGAACACTAATATTGCTCTGTTCCACGAAATAGAAAGGGAAGAAAAGATACCAAACTCATCCAATAACACCAATATTATCCTAGTATCAATTCTGGATCAGAACACAACAATAAAACCAAAAGACTGATCAATTTCCCTCATGAATATGGATGGTAATGGAAATCATGTTAAACAAAATAACACAGACTCAGAAAGACAAATTCATCATGTTCTCTTTCATAAATAATCTAGACTTAAATGTTCATTTGTGTGTGTGTGTGTGTGTGTGTGTGTGTGTGTGTAGAATGAAAGTAGAAAGGAGACCATGAGTGGGGAGGAAGAGATTTTAAGGGAAGGATGATTAAGATGGGTAATGGAATTCATGTGTCATGAACCCAAGAGTGGACTGCCAAGTAACAGCAAGAGGTCTCTAAGGTGTGAATGGTAGTGGGGAAGGAGAATGAGTAAGAACAAGGTATAATGATACTTTGAAAATATCATGCTGAAAATGAAAATATACTGAAACATTTTATATGTGAAGTTAAAATACCAATTAAAAAAAATTTTTTGGTCTTTTTGAGACAGGGTCTCCCTGTAGCCCCAGATGTCCTGGAATGCACTATGTAGACCAGGCTGGCCTTTAACTCAGAGATCGCCTGCCTCTGCCTCCCAAGTGCTGGGATTAAAGTCGTGCACCACCACGCCTGGCCTTAAATTTTTTTAATAAAGGCCCCCAGTTCTAATTGAGTGCCTAACCCAAGAACATCCTGGGCAACTAAAGCCAAAACCAAGAAGAATCATTTCCACTCTCCAAAGCTAAGTTCAAGCAAAGTAGGTCAATGACTCCTTTTAGCCAGAACTTTTGATATAGACCAAAAATCCACAAACAATGGCCTGTCAGTTAAATCCACTTGGCTGTTGCTTTTTGTAAAGTTCTATTGAAACAGTCTCATTTATGTGCTTGTCTGTGGCTTTTAGTACACAATTGCAAAGTAAAATAGCTTCAATAGAGAGTAAATGGCCCACAAATCGAAAAAAAAAAAATTACTCTTAACCCTTACAGAAAAAGTTCGCTAAACTGGGCATGATGGAGCACATCTATAAACCCAATAGTCAGGAGGCTAAGGGAGGAGAATCAAGAGCTCAAGGCCAGCAAGTGGCATGCAAGACCCTATCTCAAAAGTAAAACAAAACAAAAAATGGAAGAAGAAAAGTCACTTGCTGGCCACTGACTTAGACAACTATTTCTTTATTGCATATATTTAAGGTATAGAAAATGTTTTGATTTTTTAAAAAGCATTCAAGTAGGTGCTAATAGCTTAGTTCAGAAAGACTCCATTTCTAATTATTCTCTAATTTGTAAAACACGCATTTCTGTGATCTTTTTTCCTTTCTGCTATCTTAATATAAAATCCACTTGAAAGGATCTATGCATGACTAATGTACTAATCGTTCTTCACTACTGTTTTATAAGTCGTTCAGATTGACTATCAGACTTTCAAACACAACCACCATCACACAATCCTAGTAGTTAGTTCTGCCTTTCAGCTGGTTCATGCAGTAAATACCACAGGCTAAGTGTTTACATTTTCATCTGCCAGCAGATGAAAGGCTGATAAATAAGGGTTTCTCCTGATCACACAAAGTACCCTGAATACAACTGCACCTAACATTCATACTTTCCTAACTAGGTATCATCTGAAAATAGCTTATGAACATCTGACCTAAGATTCTTTTTTTTGGGGGGGGGGATCTTTTTGAAACAGGGTCTCCCTTATAGCACCAACTGGCCTGGAGACCAGGCTGGCCTCGAACTCAGAGATCCACCTGCCTCTGCCTTTCAAGTGCTGGGACTACAGGCGTGAGCCATCAAGCCTGACCTAAGATCATTTTTTGTATAAAGTATCATCACCTATGTAGATTGCTCCTGAGAGGAAAGTATGGAAATGAACACAGGCCAATCGATCCAAAGATGTCACCAAAAATAGGATGCTGTGTATGTGAGGTAAGGCCTTGATAGAGTTTAACCTCAGTTTCTGCATTAATGAAAAGTTCCTTTCTCAGACAACCAGAGGGAACAAGAGGTCATCTAGTCATAAACATTGAGTTAGGGAGAGACGTTCTCTAAATTTCTTCATGTCTGGGAAGAGAGGCTAAAAAATCACTATGAACACTATTTAGCATCTACCAGTCCCTGAGAATAAGGTACTAAACACACCAAACAAAAATCACTCTCCTCATGGACCTTACATTGAAGTGACAGTGGGGACATAAAATCAACTATAAAATCAAGCACTCAATATCTGAGAGATTGTTCCAAGACTGCCTTAAAGATACCAAAATCAAGCATCTCATAATAATGTAAATTGTTAGAATGCTGTATTTTTTGTGAATAATGATGAAAACAAAAGTCTTAAATGTTTAGTACAAATGCAAGCCACCCCATGAGTATTTTCAACCAGTGACTGGTTAAATCTGTAGACAGAGAGGACCAACTGTAATTTATATGGTGATAAATGCTAAGAAAGACAACCAGAGAAAAATAAGGAGTGCTGACAGTGGTGGCCAGGGAAGCCTTGAGAAGATGGTAACTGAACACATCTGGTCTACATGCTCTACAGTATGCCAGATGGGTTAGAATAGAGGAAGACCAAGAAATCAAATTGTTATACTTATGGAATGACCACATGGGTAGTGAGTCTGCAGAGGTGACTATCACATGGTTCTACAGAGTTAATAACCTGTTCTCTAGGAGACCACAGTTGAAAAGAGTGTATTTTCTACTTTTATAAAAACACACCTTCAAGAAAATCTTCCTTTGAAATGGTCCCAAAAATAACAAAGGCATAAAAAGGTAAAAACTCGCAAAGGAAAAAAAAAAAAAAAAAAAGAGACGTGAACATAAAAGGAGATAAAGTAAAAGCACATGCCAAAAGGGAGTACATACCACAAGACTTTAACAGTGAGGAAACACTATCTTAAGTAAGGACATGACACAATACAAGGAAAAAACTCTAGTAAAGCAGTAATGGCAAGCTTCCCAAGCTAGATAAAAGTGGAAAAAATAAACCAGGAAAAATGCAGCATCTACTCAGGAAAGACAAGAAACTGCTAGCAGAAGAATTAAAAAACAGGTCACTGACACAGTCGTGGCCACAGAAGACAGCAAAAGTCCTACAGTGCTACAGCCTCACTCATCTGATGTTCAACCACCACAGGATGGAAGGAGCAGAGAAAATAGATCAGTAACCAGAACTAGACTTGAAAGAAAAGGGTACATTTAAACTACATGTTGCCTTACCTTGTATATTTGAAGTCACCAAAAGCCAAGCCAAAGACTAAGGAAGACTGAAACAAATACAGTTTTATTTGGGTGCCTTCAAAAAGCATTAGAAGAAGGGAATAAGGATTCAGCCAACTGATATTCCTTAGTCATATATAAACTCCCAGAACAAAGAGAAAAAAACCAAGCTAAGGGAAAGGGATGGCTAAGTTATAACCAATGAGACTTGTCCTGGGGATCTCACAGCACTGGAAGATCTTCCCTCAATAGAATTCTTTCCAACTTTTCTATCATTCCTTCCTCTTGTCTACAGAAATCAACTACTTTTTCCAAATGCTCACTGAAAATGAATAATATAAAAAATGCTGTTTTAAACAAAGGGAGAACAACACTTTCTTGTTATACTTTTGAAGCATTCCATGACTTTCAGAGGGTATTAGAAAGACAAAATGTGTATCAAAGTCCCTTTGATAAAGGACTTTGGTAAAGGTATCTGTAAAATCAAGTCCAAAAGAACTGTATTTCACCAGGTGTTGAGTTCTCAGAACATTTATTGAAGTTTTCACATTTATTTTCTGCCTTCTATAAAATGACTTGAGAAATACTTAAAATTTAAAGACAGAAGTATTAGAGAGAACATGTGAACTAATATATACTCACAAGTAACAGTGACAAAAACATTTTTCATAAATATCATGTCAAAATTTATAAATACTGATAAAATACTAAAAGTAAAAGTTATATATTTCTGGGTTTTGTGTTTGTTTTGATTTTTTGAGACAGGGTATTATGTAGTCCAGAGTGTCCTCAAATTCACTATGCAGTTAGGGATGATTTTGAACTACTGATCCTCCTGCCTCCCAAGTGCTGGGATTACAGGTGTGCACAACCATGCCCAGCCTTCATGTTTATAATTAAAAAAAAAAAACTACATGTAATGGTATTCATTTTGTCTTTATGAATATCCTCCAAGAGTTGAAAAGAAAGCTTACTTCCATAACACATAGTATATAGAAAACGTATGGCTTACCTATTAAAGATTTGATATTTTCTAAAATTAAGTCACTAGTAACATTTCCAGATAAATCTTGTCCCAATTCAGCAATCAGCTTGGCATAACCTTCATTCTCTTCTCTTAACAAATTGAATTTTTGCTGCTTATAACTGAAATTAGAAATGTCATTTAAATAATAAAATTAATTTAAATTAGCCAGCTGTACATGGTGGTATACTTTCATTGAGTATCACTAACTTAAAACAATAATGAGATTGGCTATTACAGTTTAGGAGAGAATGTCAATGTAACAGGAGGAAATACCAAAGACTACTAGCATACCAATATTCCCTTCACTGATTGTGAATATATTATGAACATAGCCATAGTTATAAAATATTTAATGGTAATAACAAAACAATTGAATGTTAGCTTAAACTCAAATATGGATAAACAAAATAAAGCTCACTGGTAACTCAGTAATTTTAGACTACTTTAGAAGGCAAAAAAAATACAAAACATATGCTAATCACAACCTTCAAAGTGCCTGTAGGAACTACTAGTATTAAACATGAGAAATAAACATTTAGCTACTTGATCTGTAATATAAGCTACATATACTTACAAAAGTTTTGTCTTGATTTTAACTGACTTTTGATTGAACTGCTGTGACTGTTTGATAAGCCCTAAGGATTCCAATGTTTCTGGATCCAGGCGTTCCTTCAGAACTGTGTCTGAAACTAAATACTGCATTAAAAGATATTAAAAATCATTTATTCTTTAGCATTCGAGCTACATATCCACAATCTTAAATATATTCAAAATAACCATGTCCAAGTAAGAGTAAAAACCATGCTATCTCATTATAAAGCTTCAAATTTCAATTTAACAAAATGACTCCAAATACTGAACTCAAATATCACATGGTGGCTATACACAGTTTTAAAATGATAAAAACTACAGATTAAATTCTCATTAGATTGAGTCTGTCTTAACAGAATTTTCACTTAAAGCAATTCTTCAGCCTTCAATAGATTCTACTGTGGTCAAACTAATATAACAAAGACGAGGCCATTCTTCCAAGTCTCAATAATGGTATTTCTCCTTAGTTCTTAATTTATGAACATAAAATGATTTACTAGACAATAATTATGACTTCGATATTTTGCAAGGTTTTTGTTATTGTTTGTTTTAAGACAGGGTCTCATGTATATCCAGCTATCTTGGAACTCACTATGCAGCTGAGGATGACCTTGAACTTCTGATCTCCTGCCTCCACCTCCCAAGTGCTAAGATTACAAGCATGCACTGCTACGCCCAGTTTTCAGGGTGCTAGGGACAGAACCAGGGCTTCATGCATCCTAGGCAAGCACTCTACACCAACTAAGCCACATCCACAGTCCAACTTTTATTTTTACTAATAATTTATTGATTGAGAATTTCATACAATGTGTTTTAAACTACCTCCCTTGTTTTCTCCCTGCCTAAGAAAGTTTCCAAAAAAAGTTCAGTTTATAAACTATAATAGCATCTACTTACTTTACAGAGGCTTACCTTTTTCTATGTTAGGAACTCACTAGGTCAGGAATATCACTGAAGGTTTTTATATGTATAGTTTAAGTAATTTAGTAACATGATTATTTCACATAAATTACATGCTAATTTCATAAAACATTCCATTTTGAAACCCAAATCTCACCTTATCATGAAGTCAAATGAATGGAAATATCTTCCTCCATTAACATGATTAACTGTGACTATAATTGTTCAATACAAAATTTAGAAGGGGAGAGTATATTTTAAAACTTACCAAACATGCTAATACCAATTGTGTAAAATAGTCTCTCTTGCTTTTTTCTTCTAAACAATTTGTCTCAATATCTATAATGATGGAAAAAAAGAGATAAAAGTTTGGTTTTTCTAGACTCTCTAGCACTAAAAGATTCGTCTTTAAAATGATCTAGTTTAAAAATGCCTCATTCTGGGCCAGGTGTAGTAGTGCACACCTGTAATCTTAGCACCCAGGAGCCAGAGGCAGGAGGATCACTATTAAGTTCAAAGCCAGCCTGGTCTACATAGAAAGAGCTCGTCTCAAAAAATAAATTTAATTAATTAATTAAAAATAAAATACATCTTTCATAAGTTTTCCTTAATACTGATAACTGACTCTGTCACTTATAACATACCCATAAAATGGTAAGTTGGTATCATGGGGCACTGGAAACACAATTTTGAGGGAAAAAAAAATACTATTCTCAAAAGGAAAAATATTCTGACAACATTTAAATGACCACTTATCAGAGGTGCTAAGAAAGATTCATTCCTTAATTGAAAAGTTGAAATAAGTAACAACAAAATGTAAATTTAGCTGGACTTGGTGGTAGCTGTACCTTAATCTTGGTACCTGTAATCTTAGCACTCAAGAGGCTAAAGCAGGATGATCATGAGTTCAAGACCAGCCTGGACTAAATAGCAAGATGCTGTGCCACAACAGAAAAAGCCCATTTTATTGTTGTTTGGTTGGTTTATTTCCCTTTCTTTTTGACCAGTATGGGATGTGCATACATATGCATGGTGTTTCACACTGGTCTGTGTAGGGGCCAGAGGTTGATGCTGGTGTATTCCTCAATGACGCTCTACTTTTTTACTGAGGCAGGGTCTCTAGCTGAACCTAGAGTTCACCAGTTTGGTAGTCTAACTAGTCAGCTTACCCGATGAGATCCCCTGTCTCTGCTTCCCAAGTGATGGGATTACAGACAGGCTACTGTATTACCCTGCTTTTTTGTGGGTACTGGGGATCCAAACTGATCCTCATGCTTGTGAACAAGTGCTTTGTCCACTGAGCCATCTTTTCAACCCTGGTTTGAGTTTCTGTTGTTGTTGTTTTATTTTTCTTTAAGGTCTCATCATGTAGTACACCCAGGCTGGCCTCCAAATCACAGCAATTTTCTCCTCTCAGCTTTCCCAGTGCTGGGACAAAACATTTTCTAACTAAAGATCTTCCTATTCACAAAGTTCAATACTCTAAACTGACCAAGTCTATAAAAAGTCATTATTAAAAGGTATATGTAAAATTCTATTTTGAATAATCCTGGTCACTAAATTAAAACATAATTAATATTTACATTTTCTTCCTACTGATATATTTTAAAGAGACCTCTTTCAATTTCAGTAAATTCAGAAAAGCTATTTTCAGATGTGAGTAGTGGAAGAAATAAAATCATTAGTGCTAAATGGCAAGCATCAAATTTTTCAAATAGAATTAACAGGATTATACAAAAGATTTATTGGTCTACCAATTAAGTGAATTGTTTTTGAGACAGAGTCTCATGTAGCCCAGGCTGGCCACAAACTCCCTAGATAGCAGAGATAACCTTAAACCTTGATCCTCCTGCTTCGACCTCTCAAGTCCTTGGAATTACACACTAACTTTTTAAAAAATATTTTATTTATTATTTTTATTTTATATGTTTGAGTGTATTGCCTGCATGTATGTGAGTGCACCCGTGTCGTGCTATGCTGCAGAGGTCATAAGAGAGCTTCAGATTCCCCTGGAACTGGAGTTAAGGATGGTTTATAGCTGCCATGTAGGTGCTGGGAATCAAACCAAGGTCCTCTGCAAGAGCAGTCAGTGCTCTTAATCGCTGAGCTCTCTCTCCAGCCCCACAAACTAACTTTTAAATATTCTTATTTATTTTTATGTGTATGAGTGTTTTGGCTCCATGTAATTGCACCCATGTGTGCAATGTACATAGAGGCCAGAAGAGGAGGTCGGATGCCCTGGAACTGGAGTTTGGGGTGGTTGTTGGCAGTCATGTGGGTTCTGGGAACCAAACCCCGGACCTCTGCAAGAGCAGCTGGTGCTCTTAACCAGTGAGCCATCTCACCAGCCTCTGACTAACTTAAAGTCAACTGATAATTTAGAATGTACAATAAAAAGCACAAAAAAAGCATCCGTTTTAGTGAAGTGATAAATGCTGGCCTCTAAGTGGGTCTTCCAAAGTAAGAGATATCCTTATCTCATTTTGCTTTGGTTTGCTTTCTACTGTCAACACTGAGAATCAAAAGAGCAGAGGATTTATCATTAGACACAATATTTATCATCAAACATTACCTGGCCCTTCTCCACTCCTTCTTGTTGGACAATTGCCATTTCCCCATATCCTAGCCACTGTAGCTAAGCACAAAGTTAGTACAATTGTATTAAGGAAATGTGGGGAGCTATGGATGTGGTTTAGGGGTAGGAGCACTTGGCAAGCATGCACGAGGCCCAGGTTCAATCCCCAATACCACAAATGGAATAAAAGGAAAATTTAGCATATAATTTATGCAATGTAACTTATAACCTCAACTTTTAATGGAGTGTTTTCTAAGACTTTTAATCCATGTGTATCTCAGCCATTCTTCCCAGGGGTTCCCAGTTATCACAGAGCCCTAAAATTGCTAAGATTCACCCTTAAGCTCCATAAAATCAAGGCACCTGATGCTCAAGTCAAGACTTCTTTCCTTTTAGCTACCTGACCACATTACAGCACTATTCTCTCAGCTTCTGACTATGTTATTAATAGGACCTCAATAAAGTTGTTTGTTGAGATATCTCAACAATCAGTTTAGTACTCTTACCCCAATCCTACTTTCTCTATTTTATTATTTTTGTTCTAACTCAAAACACCATTCAAATAAACTCATTATCTCACACTCCTCCACCTTAAATTAGCACTCAAGTTCTCTTTAATTTCCCCTCTGATTTTCCTAAAATGCCTTCAGGTCCTTGTCTTCTGTACAGCCAACCACCTGGCCCCACGCAAAAGGTCCCATCAGTGCGTCATTACTTCAGAGTTTGCCTCTCAAGTTACTGTGGTGCTTGTGCTCCCCCACCCTCACCCGGTTAGCCTTTTTAAAGTTATCTTAACCTAGAAAGTACAGAAATAACTTAAAAAGACGACATGATGTAGTAAAAAGATCATGTTAAAGGGACCCAAGTTTGGATGCCGCTTCACTAGCTCAGTGGCCTTGAAAAAAAAAAAAAATGACCATCTCTCTGAACCTCATTTTCCGAATCCGCACATCTGTCTTACAGAAGTTTCAATAAAGACTAAGCTAAAATTAAATGCTTTAATTTAACACCTGAAACATGGAAGGTGCTCCAAATATAAGGCCTATATCCTAGGTCACACTGTTGGGTTCATCACCATCATTCAATGCTCATGTTCTTAGGCCTTGCTCCCCTTTGTTGTTCTGGAGTCACCCTGGATCACTTTTTCTCTGCCAAGAGTGTGGGTGGGTAAGGGTGCAGGTGAAGGATATTCTCTTTCCAAGTGCTGCATTCTAATCTTGCTTGTAAGAATGAATTGGATAGGATAAAAGAAATTCCCCCAAAGCAACCAAACATCTTCATTAATTCATGTTACAGTAAAAAACAATGACTTGTGGAAATAATTCATATGATTAAATAACTAGTAATAAATTTTAGTTAAAAAATATTGCCATCTAGTAATAGAAACTATATTTTAACAAAAATGCCAATAAAAAACTACTAGAATGAGGGGGCAAATAACTGGTGAGTATTCAAAGACATAAAATATATTCCCCACACTATTAAGGAACAACATCCTTCACTGGGATGGGAAAGTCAGTCTCACTTAACGGTAGGACTCTTGGTAGGCTGACTAGACTACAGTGGATGAACCCATGCTGAAGGACAGTTGGGAACATAAACCTGACTCTATAGGCCTAACTATATATAGTTTTATATATATATATTTTTCCAAGTGTGAAGGGTAGTAAGGAGGAGCAAATAGGGCAGGGGATCTCAATATGATCAAAATTATTGAATGAAATTTGCAAACGTTCAATTAAAAATGAAAATTTTTTTAATTAAAATAAAAAACAAAATGCTACCTTTAATCAGTTTTTGGTCAATAAATTTTATGGCAAAAGGCAATTTTTTTAAACTATAATTTGTATTTCTTTGTAAAGTGATGTGTAACTTTAGTGCTTATTTCAAAAATTAAGTTTTCTTATTCAAACCAGGAGAGTTGAGAATGAATGAGGGCACTATTAATAATTATGCCAGGTGGTGGGGGGGGGGGAATCTAGGGTACATGGTCACCTCATCAATGAGGTGTTTTTTCTGATTTATCACTAACACGCGTTTTGACCTGTTCTTAACACTACCACTGTGCTGAAATCTGGAACATTCTGAAGGGCCATGTACAGGCATTTATATTTGCTAAAACCAAACTACAGATTCTCAGTAAGTCATTTAATGTATCTAATGCTAAGAATTAAAGAGTAATGAGCTAAAAGAATTCTTTCCAGCATGACAAACCCTCAGAGGATAAGTCTTGGTTTAAAAAGAATTATGTCTAGCAATGGGATCTATTAGGATTCAAGGTTACAGAAAGCACAAAACTGATGAGGAAACCTGCTTAGTTATTTTAATCAGAAGCTCCAATTAGAGAAATAAATTTCTAAGACATTAAAGTCCATGTTTCCCCCTGGAGCAACACTACCTTTTGTTGTAAGTCAAAAGAAAAAAGAAAAAAAAAATCCTTCTTTATCTTGTAAGAATTCTTACTTATTCTGAACAAATGCAAAGCTCATTTCTCAGCAAAACCAAAGTACTTTAATTTTGGCTCTTTTTGCTCATTTTAAAATTAATATTCAAAACAGGACAATACCAAATGTCTTCAGAGTGTATTAAGAGATTCTGATACGATTAATTAGAAATCTACACTGACATTATTTGGGTACTAAAATTTCAGTAACTCGGACATACGTCAGAAAATGACATTTTTACTTGAAATGAGTTGATTTAGCTCAAATCTATATAGATATACACTGTCAAACACTCAAAAATTTAAACCATACTATAAAGAAATATAAATTATGACAACACTTGATTTACAAAACTATAAAGTAAAAAAGGCTTTGAGATTTACAGAAACATTTGCTTATGTGTAAAACCTTTAAAGAAAACATCATGAATTTACTAAAAATACATGTTACAGGTGAAATAAAGGTTTAATACCTACCTAATATGCAGAATACATCAGCAAGAACAGAAGGCATATCTTCACGAAATTCCTAATTTTAAAAATACATTTACAATAAATTTCAGAATAGCACACATCAAGTTTATTATTTCATAATAATGTTCATCAATCAAGCCAGAAACTCCAACATCCCTACATTAGCATTCTTCAAGCTAAGTTTCATAAACACAAGAAAATCGAGAGAGATGATGGTTAGAAGATGCGTGTTGGTGCAGGCCTTTAAGCCCAACACATGGAGGCAGAGGCAGATGGATCTCTCTGAGTTTCAGGCCAGCCAGGGCCAAGTACTGAGACCCTGTCTCAAAAAAATAAAAACAAACTAACAACAAAAAAAGAAGTACACAGACATCTACCACAAAATAATAAAAAGGCAGTAACCTAAACAAGTACCTCAGAAAAGCACTGGAATAGACTACTCCACCTCTACCTAAAGAAGACTGTCAATACTGGTGCCTTTTTCATCCAAAATTTGAAATGTTATGCCCATGCTTGAGTGAACACTTGATCTATGCAAAAAGCACAGCATAAAATTAAAAATCTAAAACATTGCATCAATTAAAAATAACTAATCCATAATTCAAAATTCTCTAAAGATGAAAATGGTTACCAAACTTTATTTTTATTTTCTGAATTCACTCTTGCTCATAGCTCTTGGAAAAACTGATCCCCAAATCCTGTGTCCGGGTAAAAACACCATCATTATTTTACATTTCTCTCATGATTTTGCACTCCCACGCTCAATTTTAGAGCTATTTCCCACTAGAAAGGATTATAGTTCAGTTACTGCAATTAGTATTTTGCTGGCACTATAGCAACCCTAAACCTCATCTATTTTCAGAGACTGTAAGAAAAAAATTCTAAAGAAAAAGGCTGGCAGCTTCAAGGAGATACACAAATCCCCTCTGAGGCTAAGATGCTGAACCAATGTATATCAGTGTGAGAAAGTCCCAACAAAGAGTGTAGTATAAAAGCATACAGGTATCACTAGGTAAGCAAAATAAAGAAGCTAAGAACAAAGTACACATACATTAAGCTTATTTGGCCTATTTATTTTCATAAATGGACAAAATAACAAGTTCTATAAACACAATGAAACTATATCAATGCCCAATTTACAGAATGAAATCAGTCTAGTGTTCTATCATATTTTAGTCTCAGGTTTCTGAAAGGCTATGAATGGAAGTACTCAGATTACTTGAAGACCAGAAGTAGAGTGATGTAAGAGATTTTCCAACATGGAATGTTATTTAAGAAATACACCACTTCAACTATGTTATCTTTATCAATAGGAGACAGTTTAAGAATAGTATGTATAGTGTGTGTGTGTGTGTGTGTGTGTGTGTGTGTGTGTGTGTGTTAAATCCCTACTGCCCAAGCATATCTGGTTGGGGAGGGAATACACAACAGCTAAACCTTGAACTTCCTTTAAACCACCCAAGAAAAGCACAAAATCATATCAAGTAGAGTCCAGTCTCCAATAGAAAAGGACTACAGAAACTTAAAGCAACACACACACACAAAAAAAATCATACCGAGATCACAAAAGCCCTCAAAACCACCTCCATACTTAAAGAAAAGCTGTTCTTAACTGGACAAATAATTAACCCCAATCTAAAACCAGTCTAACAATAAGAATATATTACACCACTTGAAACTACTAGTTTACAGTAAACACCCTTACAAACAATGATCTATTTTCCAATTGGAATACCAAAACACTAATGAAAAGTTTCTGGTCAGAAGAATGTACCTTTAAGTTCTCCAAAATTCACAAATGAAATAGATTTAGACACAAAGATTTTTAAAAATCTCCTTGATAAAAGTAAATAATAAGCAGATACAATGAATGTCAGAGTTACGCAAACACAATTTAAAATAACTTACTCTTTTAAGAATACAATTCTAAATATAATTACAAATTGATATATTTTATATTTGGAAAAACTATTTTAACCAGTTTAGTTGTGGAGTACAATGATTAAGAATGCTCTGCCTTCATTACAGTACAGCTGTATTGTTCTCCCAGCCTACATAACCTTTTTCTTTTTACTCACAACCAGAGAGAAAGATTAAAACATTAATTCCTATATGGCAAAAATGGCTTACCAATATTACTTTACAACAACGACTATAATTTTAACATATACATATACTTCAAGGATCTTTGTATCAAAATTAAAGAGATTTTACTCAATAACTACTGTTTTAAATATATACTTACGCTAATGTCATTAAGAACATTAGATGCCTGTTCATGCTTTAAATTTCCTTTAATGACATGGTATGACAACTCATAGAGAGCTTGTTGGAAATCTGTTGAACATAAAAGATACAGTATAAAGAAAGGCATACTCATTACAGGGAAATCTCTATTTCTTCTCAGAATTATTATAAACATCAGTAATACTATATAATATTTAACAGTTGATCTTTTTTACTTTTACAAAACAACACTAAAGGACTTAGGAAAAAGTGAACTATCCCATCTCTACTGTAATGACTAGTGGTTAAGCACTCCCTTCCATTATTCCTATGGCTACAAATTCCATACACCACACATTTACCATGTACATCATTGAATTTTTGTTTTGTTTTGTTTTGTTTTGAGACAGGGTCTCCCTGTAGCCTCGGATGGCCTAGAACTGACTAAGAAGACCAGGCTGGCCTCGATCTTTGCTTCCCAAATGCTGGGATTAAAGGTGTGTGCCACCATGCCCAGCTATCATTTAGTATTTTGATTCTTCTTGAATACCTACTTTTTCCTGACAGTGTAGGTGATTGAATTCAGGGCTTAATATATGCTAAGCAAGCATTCTCCCGTGAAGCTACATCACCAGCTGTTTCAGTTTTAGACAAGGTCTCACTAAATTGCAAAGTGCAATCCTCCTGCTTCAAACTCCAAGGCAGCTAGGATTACAAGTGTGTACCAGCATGCTTGGCCCACAAACATATCTGAAAGATTTTTCCATGCACCCAGTCTTCAGAATTATTTTGGATGACTGCATTGTACCCCAACAAGTACATATAAAAAAATTAACCAATTCCCCACCAGCCAACTTTACAAATTTATCTAAATATATTCAAAGGAAACTCTATTCCATTTTAGGGTTACAGTGCACATAAGGAATAGAGTTAGGCATGACCAGAAGTTTCATCCTACTACCAGAGAAATGTCTTCCAAAATCTAAATTTCTTTTTCTCAATTTCTATCAGAATCCAAACAAAAAAATAAATACATATGTATATACATATAGAAAATGGCAGTTCTATGATGATTGCTAACCACAAGTAACCCATGCTACTGCCCCATTTCCTCAAAATCTCCTCTGAAGTGAGGAGTTAGCAGTGGTTGGTTGAATGCTTTCTTTGGGTCACTTTTTTCCTTAGGTTTCATATATTAAAAGTTTTTTTTTTCTCTTTCTAACCATTAGCAGTTGGAAAACAGCTCCAAAAACACTCAGAGAGGCTAGTGACAAAGCTCAGCTGGCGGAGCGCTCGCCTGCCATGGCAGCCCTAGGTTCCACCCCTTGAACCACACTGGCGCATGCCTGTAGCCTGCAATCCATTGTAGAGGCAGAAGACTGAAGTTCAAGGCCTTCCTTGGCATACATATTGACTTTCAGGCCATCATGGGTTATATGAGATCCTGTCTCAAAAAATAAACAAAAAGGGGGGTGGGGGGTTGGAGAGATGGCTATGCAGTTAAGAGAAGTGGCTGGTCTTCCAAGAGACCCAGATTCAGTTCCCATCACCCATATGGTGGCTCACAACCCTCTACAATTCCAGTTCCAGAGGATCCAATATCCTGTTCTGGCCTGCTTACCGTAAGCACATAGTGCACTTACATACATGCAGGCAAAACACATTAAATAAAAATAAATCAATAAATAAACACTAATGTAAAAGTACAGTCTACAGGCTGGAGATATAACTTAACTAGTAGAGTGCTTGCCTAACATGTGTGTGACCTTGAGTTCAATCCCCAGTATGGCTAAAAAAGGAAAAACACTCAAAGGGAACTTATTCCAAAACACACAAAAAACAAAAGCCTGCCATGGTTGTGCACAATCATATTCTCAGTACCCACTCAGAAAGCAGAGGCAGGAGAAGCTGAAATTTAAAGCCATCCTCATCTACAGAGCAAGCTCCAGGAGATACCGGAGACATGATGAGGCCCTGTTCCACCACTGATCCCCCTCAAAAATTAAAATAAAGCTTAGTTATAATCTGCTTTTGAAAAAACTTTTTCAGAGAAAAGTAACAATTGAAAAATGAAATGTGGCCGGGCGTGGTGGCGCATGCCTTCAATCCCAGCACTAGGGAGGCAGAGGCAGGCAGAGCTTGTGAGTTTAAGGCCAGCCTGATCTACATAGTGAATTCCAGGTCAGTTGGAGCTACAGGGAGACCATGTCTCAAAACGACCAAAAAAAAAAGAGGAAGAAAAATGAAATGTTTTAAAAACTCCCTGATATAATTACTAGACACAAAGCAGGAACAAAATAGAAATTAAATTTTTTTATTTTTTCAATATTTTATTTTTTCATGTATGAATGTATTGCCTGCATGTATGTAAGTGCCCCTGTGTCATGCAGTGTCCATGGAGGTGAAAAGTGGGTGTCTGATTCCCCTGGAACTGCAGTTGTGGTCGGTTGTTAGCGCCCAGGTGGGTGCTGGGAACCAAACCTGGTCGTCTTGAAAAGGAGCCAGTGCTCTTAACCACTGAACTATGTCTCCAGCCCCAGCGTTGTTCTTTTTCAATGTGCTGCTTAGCTTTCATTGTCAACTTGAGACACTGGGAATAGGGAAGCTAAAATGACAAATTCCCTCTATCAGATCTGTGAGGCATTTTCTTAATTGCTAATTGATGTGGGAGGGCCCAGTCCTCTGTGAGCAGTTCCATGCCTGGGCAGTGCCATTCCTGGGCAGGTGGGCCTGAACTGTATTAATAAAGATAGCTGAGGAAGCCAAGAGGAAGCAAGCCAGTAACCAGTATTTCTCCATGGCCTCTGCTTCAGTTCCTGCTCTAGGTTCCTCCCCTGAGTTCCTGCTCTAGCTTCCCTCAACGATGGACTATAAACTGTAAGATGAAATAAACCTTTTCCTGCCCAAGTTGGTTTTGGTCAGTGTTTCATCACAGCAACAGAAGGCAAATAAGAACAGCCGACAAAGATATTATTTTGTAATGAAATAAATTTATCCACTAAATCATTCTCTGAACAAATATAACCAGCTTGTACCAATTCTTTTGGATAATTTATTATTATAAATATTCTGTCATTATTACAACTATATATTGTGTTTATAAGTAAATAAACTATATAAAGGAAAATTTTATTTGTTCAATATGGTAAGAAATATATCAATTTTATGCTTTTCATTTTCATTAATAAAATGTCTTACAAAACAGGCAATATTTTTTATTCAAAATTATGCAGACTAGAACTTTTTAAAAGATTTATGAGTGTTTTACATGCATGTATGTATGTATGTGCACCAGGTGCATGACTCATGCCCACTGACACCAGAAGCAGGTGTTAGATCCCCTGGAATTGGAGTGACAAACAGCTATGAGCCATCCTGTGGGTATTGGGAACCGAACCCGGGTGATCTGGAAGAGCAGCAAGTGCTCTTATCCATTGAGCCATCTCTCCCAGTCCTGAGTAGAACTTTTTAAAGCAATCATTTAGAAAGACAAAACAGCTGATTATCATTCCCTAAGTTCCCCTAAGAGTGTGCTCTACAGTGTGCTCACGGGGGCTCAGGGAATTCTAATCTTAATCACAGAAGATTAAAATAGAGAACAAGTGGCCTCGGTCATTTTGCTGACAGGAATCTTACATAGAAGTATCCAAAATTGCGCTGGGCGTGGTGGCGTATGCCTTTAACCCCAGCCACTCAGGAGGCAGAGGCAGGTGGATCTCTGTGTTCAAGGCCAGCCTGATCTACATAGCGAGTGCCAGGCCAGCTGGGACTACAGGGAGACCCTGTCTCAAAAGGACATATATATGATATATATGATATACATATAATTATATATATATATATATATATATTCCACAAAGAAGAGCCAAGAAAGTCCTAAGTTACAAGTTTTCTAAATGAGTATTTTTAAATGGTCAGGATGCCTTACTCTGTTATCCATAGAAACAGTAAGTGGTGCTTTAAAACTACCAAACTAGCCAGACTTGGAAAACTTAAAATTTATTTACATTTGTTATGTGCAGGGAACCATACAACGCTTATGCACAAAAATTCAGTCAACACCTCACCTTAATGCTAACATTTTACAAAGAGCAGTTTTAAGGATAGCTGACAGAAACAAAGATCTGCACATAAATGTTTGTTGCAGCAGTATTTACAATAGCTAAATTATGGACCCAACATAAGTGCCCAACAACAGAGGAATGAATAGCAAAAATGCGGTATATATACACAATGGAATATTTTTCAGCAGTTAAAAAAAAAGTCATGCAGGAAACATGGAGCAACTGGAGATAATTATATTAAATGAATTAAAGCCAATTTCAAAAAGACAAGCAAGTTTCTCCCTATTTGTGGTCCAGAGATTGATAAAACTATTCAATCATAAACATATACACATATAAACAAACACAACCAACATAAGAGTAGAAGTAAAATTATGTAGGAAGGCAAAGGGAACAAAGGGTGGGGAAGGTTGAGAACCCGGAAGATAGGTATAAGAATATGCCCCACATGCAATATACACACATACAGAAACTTCTAAAATGAAGTAAATAACCACTAGAACCTGGTGTGGTAACTCACACTTGTAACACCAACACTCAGGAGGCTGAAACTTGGGGCTCATGGAGTTCAAGGTCAGCCTGGTCAGCCAGGGCTACACAGAGAGACCTTGTATTTAAAAAATAAAGGAAAAAAAAAAAAAGAACAAGCATTCACTAGAAGGAACTTCTAGCGATTCGTGGGAGTTCTTTGTGGGGTGGGAATGATAAGGACAGCAGTTCTTGGTTGTATCTAATATCACCAGCACCACTCATGCTTCTCAGCCCACATCACAAAGTTGTACTTGTAAGAAGCAGAGAAAACTTCAGATGGGAACAAGTCATGTGTGAAACGAAAATTGCCTGCTTGAAATGAAACTAACTCAAGAAAGAGACAAAAAGGGAAAGAGAGAACACTACCTATACCAAATCTCCCCAAGACAGAACTAAGGAGGGTTAAAGAAATGGGGGTTCAAATAGGACATTAGACCAAAGCCTGGTTACCTGACAGCGATCAAAAGGCCTATGTGTTGAGAAGCAAGCAGGGAAAGGGAAGGAAACTATTGGCAATTCATCCAATGAGGCCACACCCATAACTATATTTGGATTCATATGTGAACCAAAACAATGTAAATTAACAATAATCAGAGTTATTAAAGATTCATGCCATCTTATTCAAAACTGATGGAGCAGTAATACATTAATTATATAGGTTTAAAATTTCTCTTATCCACATAAATTCTCCACCAAACATGACCAATGTTAATTAAGAAGTTAAAACTTGACCCTAAGCATGGAGAAGAAAAAAAATTAAGTATCCTAGTGGTCTATTTGGGTTTTTCTTTGGCAGGGGAGGGGGCATCTCACAATGTATCCTAGGGTGGCCTCAAATTCTCAGCCCTTCTGCCTCTACATCCCCAGTGTTAGGATTTTTATGAAGGAATATTTTTGTACTTATATTTCTGTGATAGTCAACTGACTTACATAAACAAAAACATTATATCAACCTCGGAAATAATTATGAGTGATCATACAGTATTTCTGCAGGGCTGGCGATGGAATGCAGGGCTTCATGCATGCCAGGCAAGTGCTCTACCACTGAGCCATACATTTACATCCCAATTATACAATTTTATAAGCAAGATAACCTAATATTTGGGGGAGGGTGGCATGCTAGAGATGCTAAGTCTTTTGGGTATTGTTTTTGGTTTGGTTGGTTGGGTTTTTTTTTTTTTTTTTTGAGGCAGGGTTCCATTGTAGAGCTCAGACTGACCTACAACTCACTATGTAGCCCAGGCTGGCTCTGAAACCACAATCCTCTTTTCTCACCCTCCAAAATCCTAGGATTATAGGAGCGAGCTACCAAACCCAGTTGAGATGTTGTCTTAAAACAGAGCTTACTTAAATAATAGAATCCAAAACTTGCTGCTTCATTTGCTTAAAAAAATACTTTCCACTCAAGCCTCCAAATGTTCTTTAATAAGTATATTCTCTCAAATTAAGGTAATATTTAATTTTGATAAAATCAAAGAAATTTATCTATAGAAAAACACTGTTCTTAATTATTCACAAAGTCATAATGTAACTATAATAAATTTTATGTATTATTTATGTATTTTTAATGCATATGAGTATATGGTCTGCATGTATGTAAGTGCACTCATTGTGCCATTGTGCAATGCCCACAGAGGTCAGAAGATGCATCAGATCCCCTGGAACTGGAGTTAGAACAGTTGTTAGCCACCATGTGGATGCTGGGAACCAAAGTCCTCTGCAAGAGCACCCAGTGCTCTTAACCGCTGAGGCATCTCTCCGGCCCCTTATTTTTTATGTAACAGAATATTGGTTATAAAAATATTGCTTTCACATTGAAAAGAAACAGTATGGGTTGATCCTCAACAAAAACTACAAGTGAAAATACTTTAAATTAGACACAATTGCTTTTATTTTGGCTTTTCTTTTTCCAAATCCATGTAACCTAGTTTTAAATTAATGTTGAAGAGTAAAATCCTGTGAAAGTAGAATCTACATTCTGTTTAATTATATAACAGTTTACTTAATAAATTCTATTTGTGAAATGCAGTAAACAAATCCTTTGCTTATATCTTTTTCCATGACAACAGCCTCTAACAAGATCCCCAGATACCACCTGAACATAACCAGCTTTAGTGAAAACACTGAACTCAGTTTCTTGAAATTTTCTAGTGCAAACATGAGCAAAACAGGTTTTCTTTCCATGCTAGCTTTCTCATAGTTATGACTGGTACCACTAACAACAGAAATTTAAACAATTATACAAAACTCCAATTATGAAAGTTAGACACATCAAATAAATGATGTTGAGTATCCAAGATTATAGTCTTACAGTTTAAATACTAATTGAAAGGTACTCATACAAATGCCTTATAACATGCACTCTTATATTTTTGGTTTTCATATACAACACTGAATGGCGAGTTATCTTTAAATAAGCCAAAAGTGATAGCTATGATACTTTTAAAATTCATACCTTTGTAGGCTGAACTGTCGTGGCTTTTATTTTCACTGAGAATCCGGCATAAATGCAAACTAGAATAAAACAAAACAAAAAAAAATCAATTTCCAATCCTAAAAACAAATGATCCCTAAAGAGCAAGTTTTATCAATTAAAAAGTATATGGAAGTGTCCCATTTAAACACCTAAGATTATGACAAAACAAGTTCCCAAACCTCCGAACTTGTGTCAGAACTAGAAGATGGTGATCAATTAATTCGGCACTGAAAACTGACAAATCATTTTTTACATAAAACATTTATTAATTCTGCCTTTCATATATAAACTGTGTCATGGAGTAACTCAATAATAGATAAGATATGACTCTTCCAGGCATGGTACGTGGCTATAATCCTAGGATTTGGAAGGTGAAGCAGGAGGATCAGGAGTTCAAGGCCAACCTCTACTACATAGCAAGTTTGAGCCCCTAGCTCAAATAAAATGTCTTTGTTTTCAACTGTTCCAACCAATAAAGAGGAAATGATACATGATGAGGGATCTAGTTTTCTTTTTCTTTTTTTTTTTTTAAACATAGGGTGAAACATACAAAGGGAGGACTGCAGGATGGAAAAAAGGGGGTGGCTGAGAGTATGATCGATGTAAATTGTATACATAAATGAAAATGTCATAATGAAACCCATTATTTTGTACAATTTATATGTGCTAATAAAAATGACAGAATTAGAACATCTCCATCTTCAGATCATCCCTAATTTTAAAAAATCTCACCATCTGTCAATGGCTATTCAAGTCATAAAAGCAGACTACAAGCATTATGTGCCTCCTAATACTGTGGAAAGAATGCACTACCTCAGATGAAATGAGTATGGCATTATCACTGTAGCACATGAATGGACAAGAAATGAGGTAGGGGATGGGAACTTTGCTCAATGGTCGAACACTTATTCAAAGGCTCTAGATCACATCCCCAGTACCATAAATAAAAAAGAAGATTGAGCCAGGGAGATGGTTCAGTGGATAAAAGCGCTTGCCATCAAACCCAATGAACTCAGTTTGATCCCCGAGACCTTCATAGTGAAACGAGAGAACTGACTCCCTCAAGTTGTCCCCTGACCACCACATACATGCTGGACACATGACTATACATGCAAAACAAATAAATGTAATAAAAATTTATACATACACAGAAACAAACAGTGGAATAATATTTAGCCACAAAATTAATACAATGCTGTCACTGGTAACGACACTATTTAGAGGACACTATTTAGTAAAATAAGTTAGACCCAGAAAGAAACATACCCCAGTTCTCACTTACAATGGGAAATTTTAAAAACTTAATCTCACAGCTCACGGTTACTACAGTCTGACAATAACATGTGGGAAAGAGATGGAAAGATGATGGAGTAAAGGGTCACAGCTCAATAGAAGGAATAACTTTTTTAAAAAATTCTTATTACATTTATTTATGTGTGTGGGTATGTGCATGTCCTATGGCGCATTTGTGGTGGTTAGAGGACAACTTGGCAAGAGTTGATTCTCTCCTTCTACCATATAGATCCTGGGAATCAAACTCAGGTTGCCAGGCTTGGCAACAAATGCCTTTATACACTGAACCATCTTGCCAGCTCAAAAGAGTAACTTGTAATGTTCTAAAGCACAGTAGAATAACCATGGTTGACAACAATTAACTGTGTATTCAAAATAGCTAATAGGAAGAATTTTCAACACAGAGACATGATAAAAATCTGAAGTGATGGACATGGTTGTTACCCAGATTTGATCAGTACACACTTATGTATGTATTGAAATGCCACAAGATACCCCACAAAGATGTACGATGATTGTGTCAAAATTAAATTGTTTAAACACATATTAAATAAGGACACACTAATACTAAGAAGGTGTCTTTAAAAAACATGAAAAAAAACAACTGTGCAGCAAAAGAAACCATCATAAGAGTGAAAAAGGTTACTCTCAGGATGGGAGTAAAAATATGGTGTGAGTGTTGAAATATCCCTTATCTAAAATGTTTGGAACAAAAACTGTTTCAGAATTTTCTATTTTTCAGATTTCTGTTCAGAATACTTTCATATACATAATACAATGTCTGGGCATAGGATCCAAGCTGAGTACAAAATTCATTATACCTTATACATATCCTGATAGTAATCTCATATATTTATTTTTGTGCATGTAAAGTTTACTGTGCATTGGACAACCACTGTGCCACTCTCTGCAGCCTTTGCAGGTGTGCGTGCATGGAAGAATGCAGGAGACCCGCGGAAAGGGTGTGAGAATAAACCGTGTTGTACAACTGGGCTTTGACTTTCAAGTGGTCAGGTATGAAATTTCCCACTTGTGGCATCTTGGTCTCAAAAAAATATCAGATTTTGGAGTATTCCCAGTCTCAGATTAAAGATGCTCATTCAAGCTGGATCTTATAATGTGTTTATGTGCACAACATAAAGAACTCAATTTCAAAATGCATTTAATTATTTTTAACGGGCAAAGAAATTAGACATTTCACCAAAGATGACAGAAACAGACCCAAGAGAGTATATGAAAAGGTTCTCAACACCATTAATCATGGTAAATACAACTTAAAACCACAACGGGATATACCTTTCACCTGTCAGTGACCATTAGTAAAAATATATATATAGTTTAAGATGCTGGAGAGATGGTGAGCCTGGGCTACACAGTTCTAGAAGCAAGACGGTGTCTCAAAAAGGGTTGTTAAGGGGGTAGATTTATGGTTTATGTATGTTTTATGTGGAGGTGTAACTCACTGACAGTGTGTGTTTTGCAGGCCTGAGGCCTGGGTTTGAGTCCTAGCACCAGTGACAGGGAAAATGTCCAGTGAGTGCGGCGGTGGGCCATGCTCCATCTCCTCTCCCTGCCTCCATTTCTCTTCAGGGAAACCATAGCCCTTATGCTTGAAAGCACATGTGTCCTTAGATTTGCATACTTTTGCTTACTTGTGCCACGTTCTCTCCCCCGCACATACATACACACATACACACACGCACACACACGCACGCACACACACTGGGTGATCTAATCCACTAAGGGAGTACTTTGAGTAATTTGTAACTATCACCTCCAGTTTTTTTCTCCACCCCAAATCATATTTACAACTACTACTAGATTTTCTGACTTGGGACCCTTGGCAGACATGAGATTTGAAAAACACTGAAAGTTATCACCTCTTTGAACATAGCTACAACCCAGACTTTCTGTCTAAATAAATACCACTGCTCAAGAATAAAATGTTTAGCACCAAACATTTTAAATTTTATTTCATTAAGTATTAATCTATTTAAATCCAGAACACTGGGCTAGACTATAGCCCAATGGTAAGCCACTCGCCTGCATACATAAGGCCCTGATTTCACTCTCCAGCACATAAAAAATAAAAATAAAAGCTTCCTGAGCCGAGATTTCTGTGTTTTTTGTTTGTCTGTGACAGACTCTTGCTGTGTAGTCTAGTGTCTCAGCCTCCAGAGTGCTGGTCTGGCTTTTTATTTGTTCCTGGTATTGACTATTACTATTAGTTAGGGATCACATCAAAATTTTATTTTGTCAAGTGGCATTTATTTTCAAAATTTTTATTGTGGGTGCATGTGCATGTGTGTGCGCATGCACACAGGTCAGAGGACAGCTTTAGAGTTGGTTCTCTCCTTCCACTTTATGTGGATTCCAGGGCTTGAACACAGGCTTACGACAAACACCTTTGCTTGCTCGTCTATCTCAGGAACAACAACAAAAAAAAAAAAATGTGAAAAATGAGAGGCTGGCAAGATGGCTCAGCAAGTAAAGGAGCTCGCTGTCAAGTCAGGCAACCTAATTTGATCCCCAAAACCCACATAGGGTGGAAAGAGGGAAATGACTCTACAAAATTGTCCTCTGACCACCATACATACACAGTGGCATACCCAAGCCCACACATATGCTATATCCACACAATAAGTAAATAATTTTAAGAGAAAAATGAAAACAACTTGGGTTTGACAGCTCCTGCGGTGGAGGCAGGATAACTGCCATGAATCTGAGACCAGATTGGCTTTCATATTGCGTTCCAGGAGAGCCTGGATTATAAAGCAAGACCTTTTCTGAAAACAAAGAGTATTATGTTCCTAAAACTTCATCAACCTGGGAGTCCAGAAAGACCACCTAATCAAACACAGTGGTTCACACCTGTAATTCTATCATCTTTAGACTAAAGCAAGAGGGTCTTGAGTTTGACACCAGCCTGAGCTACATAGTAAGTTCTAGGCTAGCCTGGGCTAGAGTAAGACTCTGTCAAAAAAAAAAAGAGAGAGAAAGAAGAAAGAGAAACCGGGGATGGAACTTAAATAGAAAAGGTACTAATCATAGAGCAAATGATGGGTAAATCTGATGATATTACAATTAACAATTAAGCCCAAGGGTGGTAGTAGATGCTGTTCAAGAGTTCCAAGCCAATCTGGACTATATAGTCAAACCTCATGTCAAAAACAAAGATCACCATTAGCCAGGCACAGTGGCACACACCTGTCACCCCAGCAGCATGGGAGCCTGAGGAAAGAAAACCGATCACGAGTTAGACGTCAGCCTGGCTACACAAAGTTCTAGGCCAGTCAGGGCTACACAGATTAGATATGTATTAAGAACATGTAACAAATTCAATATATCCACAAAGGGCTCAAATACAGACTACATGAAGAACCTCTACAGATCAATGAAAAATTCAATGAAATCATAGTCAAAAGATATAAAGTTCGTCACAAGGATTAACCAGAGCTTCCAAAGACCATTAACATAAAAAGATGCTCACTGAAAATAAGAGCCACAGTGAAATACTTCTGCATACATATGGATTTTTTAAACTTTTGCTGTTGTATTTAAAACAGGGTCTCATATAGCCCAGGCTGGCCTTGAACTCCTGATTCTTCTGTCTCCACCTGACCAATGTTCACATCCTCATTAATATCTGACACTAACTTTAAAAGTCAGGTATGTTGGCACCCTCGTGTAATTCTGGCACTTAGGAGGTATAGGCAAGGATATGCTGGACAACATAGCAAGTTTT